GTTTGTGGTTAAACTAAAGGTCTCGTAGGGATCCTTTCCATAATGCTGTCAGACACTGACAATAACAATCAGTTTTTTTAGGTGGATGTACTGGTCCCCATGAATTAACATTTTCACATCTAACTTGATGAATAAGGGGTCAATTTTGACCAAAGCAGCGTTGATGATTGTTGCAAAGACTAACAAAGATTTTTTTGGTGAGTTTTATTTAATTTTTATCCCAATGTTTAGGTTGTTTAGTCTGAGTGTCAAGTGAATTTTGTATATACAACCTTTAAGGCTGGGTAACGATCGTCATCATGGTTAACCCTCTAAATAAGGTCAGTTTTAAGCATTATCCAGTTTTAATCAACATTAAATGAAAACTACAACAATGGGTAGAGCATTAATTGTTTTTGCAGCATCACTACATTGTGCGCTCTAGGTGGTTACAATATGTGCAAAACTTGTGGCTCCAGCTGATTGGTGCAGGTGGAGATTATGTTAAAAACTTTTTTGAACAACATGAACAAATATTTTGCTCATGTTTCTACACTCAGAAATCTTCACTATGTCATTTATTTTGTATTTTCATTTAATCAAATTTGATGAAAAAACTATTTTTTAATTTACCTTATTTTGTTTTATTTAAATTTTTATTGTTTATTGACTTACATACCCTTTTAGCTCAGGTTGTATGAATCATTTCAAGCTACTCCAAAAAATTACATCACAATAAGAAAAAAAAGGTTTCTCCTGCAGAGTTGAAAGGGTTTAAAGACCCACCGATTCCCCCCCGACCTTCCTCCTTTGCTCCAGACATAATTACTCCGGCCCCTTTGAGGGCTTTATCACTTCAACGTAAACATGTGTCACTCTTGCGTGTTTTAAAACCTGCTGAGCAGTGCGGGAAACAGAGTTAATTGATGGTATTTTCAACATCAGTGTGTGCTGAGACATGACAGAGTTTTTCTGTGTGTTTTACTTTGTTTTTCAGCCATGTTTGATTCTTCTGTGTGGAACAAATCCTTTAATGTCATACTGAAGCTCTTGTTTTTGACGTCTGGATGAAATGTCGCCCAGAATAACACACACACACACACACACACACACACACACTGCAGCAGGAGGCTACAGAGTGGGCGATGCAATGTTTGTCCTCAGTGGGTTGTCTGAAGTCTTCCAACATGTTTCCAATTGTCTCTGTTTGTTTTTCTGATATTCACATTTACAATATCTAGTGTTGAGTTTGTGGAATTAATAAATGTCTTTAGAATTTTGTATGAGTTGTTTTCCATATGAATGAACCATATAAAGCCTGAAAATCCACAGACGGAAAGATTGAATGGATTTTACGGTTGACAGAAAGAAGAAATGAAGGAGGGAGTGAGAGGTGAAAGAAAGGAGAGAGGGAGGAAAGGTGTGTGTGTGTATGTGTGTAATGAGGCCTGACTTGCTTAATATCTCAAGGCGAGGTTTGCTTTCTGATGCCAACACACAGACACACACACACACACACACACACACACTGAGGGCTGATGTCATTTTTGTTAAATGGCAGGGGTGAAACACAATTACAGAGATGAATGAGGACTGTCAATCAAACAATGACGGGCTTTATTTACAGTCTGAGTAAACGAACAATGTTTCAGGTTTTATGACTCAAAGAACAGATTTAAACTTTTATTCAGTTTCAGAAAGAATGTTGTCTGTATGTCGTCATCAGCATAATTTATGTTGTTTATCTCATCATTATGACTTTTTGCCTCAGTATTTTGTCTTTTAATCTCATAATTATTACTTTTTTCCTATAATTATTACTTTTTACCTCAAAATTTTGACTTTTGATCTAATAATTTCTATTGTTTCTCTTATAACTGACTTTTTATCTCCTAATTCTGTCTTTTTTCTCCTAATTTTGAGGTTTTATCTAATAATTCTGACTTTCTTTCTATAATTATGACTTTTTACATCATTTTATTACAATTATCATAATTTTGACTTAACCTGACTAAAATTTTTTTTATTATCAAGGCAAAGTTTTCATCTTTTTTTTTTCATTTGAGACCTGAAGTGACCCACATGATCAATGTCTCTCTATAGTGACGTAAAAGTCACATGAATTCTGACACATTGAGCTCATGTTGCATAAAGTCAGACGTGTATCTGATTTGGACCAAATGTTACATTTGAAAAGATCAGATTCCATGTGATTTTATATTAAGATTTAGACTTTTATTTGGCGTCATAAACATTTGTTGTTGATGTGCCGTCGTTGCAGAGGAAAGCTCCTAACCTGTGTGTGGATGTTTGTGTCTGGAGCTGATGGATATCGGAGCTTACAGGAAGACCACAGAGGGATGTGGGAACAGGTGGATCCGCTGTGTAAAATCACAGTGTGGAGACACCTGGGAGAGGTCCGGTCAACAGTTCAACCGCCGTTTAAAATCTGCACTCGATGTTTATTAAACTGCGGGTAACCATGGCAACAACACTGATGCTTCCTGCTGGGTTATCAGATATTTGCCCTGATGTTGGCCTGAAACCGCTCAGTATGCTGTACTTCCAGTGGTTAATGTGGGTTCAATCAATATGTCGATTGATCGAGACAGATAATGAAAGACAGATACCTCCTCTATCTTTTATATGAAACAATAAACAATACGAAAACAAATAAAAATGTTACTGTAAACATTTTCATTTTTTAATGTGGACAGTACATTTCTATGGAAGGTTTTATGTATCTTTTATGAAGACTTTTTTTACTCATAATTCTGATTTTTTTATCTAATAATTTTGACTTTTTACGTCCAAATTTTTACGTTTTATCTTAACTATAGCTTGAACTTTTCATCATAATTTTGACCCTTTTTTTATTAGTTTATAATAATTAACAAGTTTTCATCTTATTCTTTTCATTTCAGTCCTGAAGTGACATGCATGATCAATCTCAAAGTCACATGAATTCTGATACGATCGTTCACAGATATAGGGTGATATGAGCTCGCACTGCAGTCAGACCTATATCTGATTTGGACCAGATGTTACATTTGAAAAGATCTGCTTTCATGTGATTTATGCTGTTTTTTCACGAAACAAACTGATCTGAATCACATATGATTTATACATCTACTACTACATTTGTCTGACAGCTTTAATAACTCTTCAGGTTACAGTGTTTCCTACCCTTCCTGCCCAGTGAAAACCACGTATCTGTGTGTTTGTTTATGTGTGTTGGGAAGATTCTCCTTCTTCTTAAGCTAAACTATATAAAAACCCCTCTTGGATCAGCTGTAAAATGCATTGTCACAAAGCTGAAAGCAGGGCTGTTAAGTTGATTACAGGGAGAGAGAGAGAGAGAGAGATATCAACTGCTGGGTGAGCTAGATTGACTTTTAACGAGAGAGAGAGAGAGCAGAGGACTGTGCAGTCAATTCATAATTTCTCAACAGGGAACGGTTCATGCTTCCACAGCAATATCGAGACAATCAGGCAGCTCTACCTCCCAAATACCTCTTACTTACATTGTTTTCTTGGTTCTTCTAGTCTCAATACATTACCTTCCGGGTAGAAAACCCCTGCTCTACCCTACGGTTTAATGGCAGCAAGTGTATACAGTTTTATGCTGTCATTTCTCATTAATACCACTGACTAACTTAAGTTGGAGTTGGGCCACAGACTAAAGGAAATGACAGCCTAGAGTTTACCCCAAACTAGCAGCTAACAGTCACATTCAGAGCAAATCAGGCGTTGAGGCAATTCATTTCAGGCTGTTGTGGCAGTGTTTATTCATGCTTAGGACGTCATCAGAAAAATGACATTTTATTTCTCAGATTCAGCAGCTTTCTCGCATCTACTCCCTCTCCTCTTTCAGACAAACGGACGCAAACAAAAGAAAACTTCTTGCTCTCAACTAGACTCAAATGGGGATAACAATGGACACTGTCAGATTTGATCTCAGGGTGGAAGCAAGGGGGAAAGAGAGAGACTGCCCCCCCAGCCTATGGTTGCACTCCCAATCTCCACCTTAAAGCCTATAAGCACTGAACTCTCACAGACCTCTGGCTTCAAAAGTCCAAAATTGTACAAATTGGAACGGGACAGCACTTACAAACATTCTATTTATTACCAACGTGTCTTATCTGTTTATTATTCAATTCAATTCAACACAACTCTACCTTTATCTAAAATCAATTAATTAGAATGTTATTCTTGAAACCATGATTAAATTAAGGGTGGGAACAGTTGCATTGAGTGTAGGGGACAACAGGTAATTGTCAAATAATCTATTTACTCACTTTACTCACCTGAGTTACAGGTTTCCTTTAACACTTCAGGGCTTCCGCTGGTAACCCTGTTTTAAACATCCCAAAGCTATGAACTGTGGGTAATTCCCTCAGGTAAAGTCTGCAGACATTCAGACTTACAGAAAGTGTGGATAAAAGGTTTGACTTTAGGACAGAGGTGTAAGTCAAACTCTCTGAGTGAGGAGATTTGGTCCATTCAGTGTTGAAGCCAGACCAGGTGAGCTGAATTACCCAGACGACTCCGCCCACCAGGCTCCTGGAGAGGGCTGCTCAGAGGGTTGTCACAGTGTAACTACTACACCTCTGTAATAAAACCACACAGGGAACTATTTAACCATTTAGAGGCCACATAGAGGCTTATTTTCCATTTCTGCAACTTATTTTCTAGCATGTAGGGCACAGCATCATATTTTTTTGCCACCGTAGAGGGCACCAGGGACCCCCCATGAGTCCATTTTTGTACAGGACAGAAATCCTTGAAAGAGAAGTTCAAACCTACTTTCACGCCTGGCCACTCACCACATGCTTGTCGGAAAGTTATAACCACCCTAATTTTGAGTCGGAACGGCCTGTGAGGGGAGGTTTTCAGTCGCTGTTCGACCATCTGA